CCACTGCCACCACAACCCCACCCCATCGTCATGTCGTCGCCAGATCCACCACCACCCCCGTTGCCGCCAACAAGACAAGCATCAACACATCATACCACAATCACAACCCAACAACAAAAAAAAAAAAACCCCAGACCCGTCACTGCCACAACCTCCATCCCTGTTGTCGCTATCTTGATCCACCGCACTAGATTCACCACCACACCACACCATACCGCACCTTACTGGAGTCGATCTCGCCACATCGTCGTGATGCTTCCGTTCATAGCAGCATCGATCTACAAAAGCTGAGCAGGGAATAATCGTGCTCAGACCTCTCGCCCTCGCCGTCGCTATCGCCGTAAAGAGCAGAGAAGAAGCGGTCATGAATTGTCGCGATCTGTGTACCGGCGAAACCATATATCTGCAAGCAGAGGTGCCGGGGTTTGTTAGATCTGGTGGTGGCAATTGCCTACGGCGGCCTTCTTTCCGGCGAGGTTCGATTTCGGACAGAGAAAGAGATGAGTGAGAGTGAGTGAGTAGTGAGAGAAAATGAGATTGAAAATGAATTAGGGTTTATTTGAAATATAAGTATTATAATATTATTTAAATTAACAAAATATCCAATTAATACCTGATTTTTGATTAAATAAATTTCGTACCTGAATTTTGAATTTGAAAGTTTAAGTACCTGGTTTTATGAAATTTCCCCTATGCATAATGAGATTTAGCCCATGTTTGACAATCTTTAAAATGAGTTTTTTTTTTTTGGAGAAAATGAGTTTTGAAAAATAAATAAATAAATAAAAATAAAAGGTGAGTTTTGCAAAAATGAATGACAAACGGGACTAAGTCCCAAGGGCATTATTGTCTAATCATTTGACTAACATTACACCATGGCATACTAATGGACAAAAAAGGGTATCCTCGTCAAATCAGAATTCATACCTCGGTCCTAAAATAGGAAGTCCACTGTTTGAAATGCATAACAACCCACCTACGCGTCAACCATCTATAAGGCTGTCGGCTCTTTTCAGTAACTGAGGAAGCCATAAGTTTTCCGCCACGTGTGTCAACCCACCCTAAAACCAGAAAACCACTAGTTGTTTTATCATAAGCGGTTTTGCAGTTCTACCTCCCCACTTGCAGTCATACGTTCCTTATATAGTAGTATTCTGAAACTTCGGTTGCCAAGCCTGCTTTTGTACTACATATAAGTTTTTTCTGTAAGTTTTTTCTTTCTCTTTTTCAATCTTTTTCTTGGAATATGTGTTCAAAAATGATAAACCACCTTAATATCTTCTTCATAGAGCTTTGTATGTAGATATATAAATTTTATTTGTGGGATTTACATGAATAAATTATTATCCATGTAGAGAGAGAAAAGGTAGTCGATCGAGGGAATAATAATGGGGAGAGGGAAGATAGTTATAAGGAGGATCGATAATTCGACAAGTCGACAAGTGACATTTTCGAAGAGGAGAAATGGGCTGTTGAAGAAGGCTAAGGAGCTTGCGATCTTGTGCGATGCCGAAGTCGGAGTCATCATCTTCTCCAGTACTGCCAGACTCTATGATTTTTCCAGCACCAGGTCATAAATTATTCATTTTCATTATCGCGCGCGCGCACATATGCATGTTCTTATAATTTTCGAGGCTTTGAGTTTTGTTGTTTGTGATTTTGTAGCTTGCTATACTCTCAAGATCGATCTATGCAGTCTTTTTAAATGATAGAGAATTATTAGCCAATCAATTAAAGATTTTGTAGGTTTTTTTGCGGTTTTTTATTTGTGAATTATGGGTAATGAAATACAACTAAAACTAATTAGACTCTAGAAATTGGAGATATTGATGCTTTGCAAACACAAAATGCTGCAGATTTGAAAGATTATGCCATGTTTGGTAGGTAGATTGATGGTGTTAGTGATGAAAAAAAAAATTAAGCTAAAAATTAACTTGTATTGCCTAATCTTGTCTAGATCCCTCCTCATCATAATGTTGTTTTTCCGTTGTCGTGTATTATTCTTCCTACCTTCTCCACCTTCCAAGGTCCCCTAGCCTTTTTTATGCATCCCATTCAAGATTTTAGGGTCCACCCTTCTAATGTATCTCCCTCCTATTCTAGCTTGGAAGCGTTCCACAATAGTTGAATTCTTGTTCTCTTTACTCATTCTCTTCTATATGGTTCTCTTTCTCGATACATGGCTCATTTCGTAGGGAAATATTTTCATGAACATCTATACTTGAGCTATCATTACATGTATAGTTGTCAAGCCAATAGGGATACGTGTATGATTGTCATCGTTTCACTCTCATAGGGATGTTCGTTCATGGATTGGATGTCAATAATGCTTTTTCTATATGCTCTTAGAGAACGTTTTCATAGAGCAAAGTCGTATATTTTTACTTTTACTCGTCTAGGTTATTGTAAGCTTCAAATGGTTTTTATGGCCTCAAGCAAGCACCTCGAACTGACTTCTGTTTTGACATCTCTATACTCACTTGTAAATATGTTAGCATATAACTATGTACTTGAAATTGTTTATGCCGCGGGACAACCATTCTTATAGGTAATAATGTGGATTTCCCATAACATTTCTTTGAGATCAATCAAATAAATTTAAATTCAAGGCTAGGGTGATACAAAGTACTTTCTTAGTGTTGAAATGCTATCATCCATGGTGGAAGGTCTTCTACTCGACATAAATATATCTATGATCTTCTTACTAAAACATCGTGCTTTGTGCAAAAGACGTAACAAATGCCCATGTCCAACCATAGCAGTTACACTCCAAGATAGCTCACCTCTTTCAAATATGCCATCTTGTAGTTCCAAGTAGTTGGCTGCCATGACCTGTCCAAATATATCCTAAGTCAGGGGCGGAGTCAGCCCTTCAAACTAGGGGGGTCCCGGAGTTGAAGGGGCGGAGGCTCACGGCTGCCCCCGAAATTTTTTTTGAAACATTATCTGTTAAAATGAGGAAAGTTGGTACTTTGTGATGGAAAAATAAAACAAATGAACATAAATTAATGTACGAAGATTTCACAAAAAAATCAAGAAACATATAAAAGAACCCCCCTCCCCTCCGCCCCTGTCCTAAGTTGTCAATAGGAATGCACTATTCATGCTCATTTCCATTGAATTCAATAGCTAAATGCTTACTTCGATAGCTGAACAAACTATTCACCACAGTTTATTTCTCAAACCATAGAATGGACTTTAGTTGCCTACTTTCTCATATGCTGATTGGGCAATCAACAGAGATGACCACCATAATAGGTTACACGATCTACCATGGTGGAAATGCTACATCTTGGTGTTCAATTAAGTAAACATCACAGGCTATTAACGTTTAAAGAAGTAAAAGACACAGTTGCTCAATCTTGCACATAAGCTCAACATAGAGCTCTCTTCCTGTGTAGCCGAGGTTCTTTGGCTTCTCTATCTTCTTCTTGAGCATAATGCATCCCAAATTACTCAAAAACCAGTTATGGTGAATGATATTTAGGTGCATTTAGGTGGATAATATTCTATATTTTTTAGTAAAATGAATGTATTTTATACTAGTTATGTTATTCGGTGTAAAACTATCTCAATCCTCCGTCTTATGTTATATGGTTGATAGTGCAAATGACCTAAAAATATAAAAGACTATTATGCATCTTAATCCATCATAATACCATCTACGTATTATTATCCATTTTAATTTTATTTCTAAATTCTTATGCGATCTAATACGTGCACCAAATGCATCCTAATTGGTTCATTTCAAATGTGAGAATTTCACATTGTTGGTTTAGACCTCACGTGAATTCTGTTTTAATGAAAGTCTTTTAAATTCTACAAAAGTCCATGAAAGTTTTAAAATGAAGGTCTGCAGAAGTCTTCGAAAGATTTAGATTAATTCCATACAAATCTATAAAAAGTTCATGAAATTTAAAGAAGTAGTCACATAAAAAAAGTTAATAAAAGTTTACAAAAGTTCCAATTGAATACACCCCCGTACTATTTTGTCATATATCATGCATATTGCCCGTGGTTCCTATACTGTGTCATATATAATCAGTCCTTAGTTATCATATCCTCTTAGAAAGCCTCCCTCCTCTAAGTGGTTACCTACATGGTCATCTCCAATAGAAGTACCATCTCGCGAGACATGATAGAGAGTTCATTTTTGGCTCCTCAAATCAAGGTATTCGATTCAGATTTTAAAACATTTTCTATTATGTTCAGATAGATATCATAATAGCATATAATTACTTCACCCAAATGTAATTGGTAGGATAACACCATTTTCTTTCAGAAGTCAGACTAGCACATATTACAATTTTACAGAATATTTTACCGAGTAACTTCACATTTCTTTTGTATTTACAAGAAAATGGCTCTTCCTTCTTTGGCGATACTTTCAATGCATACTGAAAGATATAACTCCTAAGCTGTAAGAGGAATTTCTTCGTAAGCCGTAAGAAGAATTTCTTCGTAAGGGCGTGTGCACAATTAGTTTTTTACTTTCGGCACACCTTGTTACGAAATACATAAAGGTACATCAAACAAACTTATTAAAAACACTCACATGCTAACTTAATATCTTGACGAGCAATTATCTACATGATAAACTACGTAACACAAGCACTAAGTGTGATAGTTTAGTTGTTAGAGAACCTCACTTTCACACTCGCCAATACTTTTTAGGGTGGTCCATCGTACAACAAAAAAATGCATATGATGTCTTACTCCATAATTGTGAGATAACATTAGCCCGATAAATCGATGTAGGGGCAAAAGCGATAGAAATAATGAAACAAACACGTTATTGAAATTTCGTTGATTTCAAATGAATATTGCAATATGACCACATTCTAATTTCTGTTTATTCCTAAGCATACCAGAAATCTAGGGATCAAATATTCTTTAATTCGCACAGTAATAAATAGAATTTGAACTCTTTAATTTTAAATATTAAATATCAAAACTTTAAGAAATTGGTGAAGATCTCAGTAATTAATATTTTATTTCAATTCAAAAACCACATAATGCCATTATGGCTTATAACCCTTATTTAAATTAACAACTAAAAATTATAAGTTACTTTCTTTATTGAGAGAGTAGCTAATTTTCAGTTTTCTAATATATCTTTAATGTGCCTTGTTATTAACAAATATGAAATATTCTTATTTAAATCATTATTTAATATAGGGGTATACTATTGAAAATGTAAGGAAAAAAAATTATATTTTCAACTATATTAATTATATTTTCTTAATTTAAAAATAAAAACAGTCCTATCTTTATAGAGAAATGTTATTCATCCCCACTGGGGATGCATCCTCAGTCTATGTGGCGTTAATGTGGTATTAAATGATAAGTGAAATTAAATAAGTCATTTAATTTCACCTATCATTTAACCAATCATTTATATCCACATAGATTGGAGATGCATCCCCACTGGGGATGAATAGCATTTTTCATCTTTATAGGGGAGGGAGTGAAATTAAAGATAATGACTAAAATTAATGATGATGACATCTTCACGATTTTGGTGCCCATTTAGGTACCAAATAGAACTGTACATTGATTTGAGATATTGATTATAAAAGCACCCTGTTTATAATACTATCCATTTTTCTATACCTATTCAACTCTTACTTTTGAGAACAAATGTTCTAAAATGGTAATAGAGTTGTGCAACTCTATCATCGCGATGGATTCCTTGAAGACGTAGATATATTGATCCTCCTCTTCATCTTCGAGTTAGAGACTTCTTCACTTAGCAACTCTATCATCGCGTTGGATTCCTTGAAGACGTAGATATAGTGATCCTCCTCTTCATCTTCGAGTTAGAGACTTCTTCACTTAGCAAATAAGTGAATGGAGTGAGTTCCAGTCTTAAGTGTGTAAGTCCATTCATTTTCGTCTAGCAAGATTATCTGTAGTATAAACACAAAAATGCGAACACACGCCCAACAAATATTGTGATGTACACATCAAAACCATAAAACAAAAATAGATACCCAACTTTGGAAATAACTGCACATTTCTTTGTATATGCAAGAAAATGGCCTAGCCCAACTAGGATTGTGTGCATTATTGTTTACTTTCCGAAGACCTTATTGTGAAACATATCAAAGTGAGTCCTAGATTTAGTGAAAAACAATTTAAAATGAGTCGAGGAGGTCGTGTCTATTAATTTAAAAATTATAAGACTTTTTTAGGTATATGTAGACAATTAAATTGTCTATCAAAATAATTGGACACTCTAAAGAACATCAATTTGTATGTTGAACTTAACCAATTGAAGATTGTCACAGTAATGTAAGGCATTCAATAGCTTACATGCAAAAATCAAAGTTCAATTTTAATAGGATTGAACACGGTTTGGTTCAATTCCTTTCGGTTTGGTCCGATAGAATCATTGGTTCCATATATAACAATGTAATCGAATTGGAACCAAACAAATTGGTTTTAGTCTTGTCCGTGTTGATTCTTTATATTGAAAAATTATAAAAATAAAGTATGAAACTATTAATCAGATTTAAGATGCACACAAATAGAATATGAAATCACTTGTCTTGTAATTTAATAATAAAAAATTAATTAAACAAGGAAACAAGCAAAATCTAATTCCAATGCTCAAGATCAACTGATAAAGGGGGGAAAAAAGGATAAACTATTAAACATCATTGTAAACTATAAAATTTGGATCTAAATTTAATTCTTAAGAAAATTCATACAAAAATATATATTAAAAAAAATACTATTTATAACCTGATTATCTTCAATAATCCTTAGAGAAGATCAAGAATCCTTATTGCTGTCCACTTTGTAAACAATTAAAATTTTGAATTCTTACGAACTAAAAATATTTTTTTCCTATTGGTGTTACATTAAAGTTATGAATTTGTAAAATATTTATGGAATTATTTAGATTTTGATTACCAATTAGGCTTTGTTGTAAAGAAAAGAAAAATAATTGTGTTCAAATATCTGGTGCAATGCACTAGTAAAAAGAGAAATTTGGGAGAATTAAATTCACAATTGATTTTTAAAGCAGCATCAAGAACCAAACTGTAACCGACCGATTCTCAAATCATCAACGAATTAATAAATACAAAACATATCTTCATAAACATGCAATATCTTTAATCTTGACATCTTGCTCTTTAATCTTGATTGTTTCTATACTCCTTAATTCTTGATTTCTTGTTCTTGGTTGTTGATCTTGATTGTGGATTTTGAATCTTCGTCTTCAATATGCTCTCTCTTAATTATTCTTATGTTGATGAAATGATAAAAAGAACAAAAATCACATATGAATTGAAGTTATAATACTATTTATTTTTTTAATATGTATTTCAGTCCAAATAGATTCGATCTCTACACATATTTAAACTTACACTTTAATTAGATGTCTAAAGCGTAACAACGTTAATTCTTTATTCAATCACTTTAAACGAGTTTTAACTTTAAAATAATCTTCATACACAATTAAATACATATGTAGATCCAGGTGACAAATTAAAATCCAACTACTCTACCTTGAAGTATCCTCTACATTAATAAAAGTGGAACTTCCAAGAAACTCCCTCCAGAAACAAGTATTCGATATAAGAGCATGAGAGAATATAGAAACACATGCTTGTATGTTTGGCAGGCTCAGTGCTTCTGTGTAAGTTGGGTACCTACAATGCATGTTAAGTTGTTTATATATATACTACGAGGTCTTGACACCCTAAAATATCAAACTAAAATTTTCCAGTCAAGGAACATGCAAGTTCATTACGAAATAATGTATATAGAAGATTTATAAAGATATAAATACAATTAAGGCAATTATTGTATTTTTAGATATCGTCTTATTTGTAAACATATATTTTCTTAAAACTTCTCATAATACAAAGAACACAATATATAAGATATAAAAACATAATCTTCCCCAAGCATCAACAATGTAATTTCATGTGCACCAAGTAAACGACATTTTTAAACATATTTCGGAAGAATAACAAATAGTTTCCAAGAACAAAACATTTCATATTGTCAAAATTTTCTTTACTCTTTCTATAACTCATATTTCTGGCTTACATTTATTTAAAATAAATCTTTTAAAAAAAGATCAACTGTAAAATAAAAGTCAAGAGAAAATCCACACAAATTTGTAACTAAAAAAGTCGATAAGATAATATGGTAAAATAATTTTTCACATCATTTATCTTCACAGTAACAACGGTATATAGAGCAAACTTAATAAAAACATTCACTTGCTAACTCATGACAAAACCACCGTGTTTACATTACTACCAATTTCTTTATGCCTATCGAACTCTTACTTTTGTGACCATAGAATAGAAATAGAGACCTTAAGATGCTCTACTATGTTTATGTCATAAGATCGTCTCCTGAGCATTCCAAGGCTCACCAGAGAAACTTCCCATACAGTGTATTGAGACTTATGATGCCCTTGGAATGCTTCCCATACAGTGTAATGAACCTTCCAAGGGTCACCAAGGAATGAGTCAGAATTTGCATTGATTGGTCTACCATCAAAATCCCAATATGAAGAATGGGTATTAGATTATGATGCCCTTATTACTTATGTCACAAGAGAGAATTGTTCTTAAAAGAAAAGCTAAATGATAGAATTGTTTATGTTGACCTTAAAAAGAGTGTATTTTCAAAGTCAACATTGTATTTTCTCTCTTGTTTTCCCAAACTTTTGACACATGTTTGGTCTACCAAATTTGAATAAGAACTTTATATCGTTAGAAGCCTTGGAATCTAGGGACTTGTATGTACCTGAGATGGGTTCTGATGTAGGGCAATCCTATTATAAATAAGATAAAAGTTACATATTAATAATAAGGCTTTCTAATTGTAATAGATTTTATTTTTTTAATTCATATTTCTTATTTATAATATGATTAGATTAGATTATGATTTTAGTTTATTTTCTTATATTAGTAAAGATTAGGGAATAATATTGCCTCTATATACAAAAGCTCTGTACACTTTTTCAATAATCCGTTCAATCAATTCAATACAATAAAATTATTACCTACATAGTTTCTAGCTTTTTACTTTATTCTTGTTTTAAGAATTCCAATTCCGCTTTCGCACCAAAATTGGTATCAGAGCAAGTTTTGCCCTTGGTTGATGGCTACTTATAGTAGTAGTGGTACGCATTCTCTTGATGATGATCGAAGGATTGCAAAATCAACATTGGTCCAGAATTTGGAAAGAATTTGGAACAAATGATGGATATGTTTGAAGACGTAGCTAACAAGAATTTGCATACTTTAACTGTTATGAATGTTGGTTGCTTCAACTAGTCCAGATCACGACAATAGGTGTGGTTTTGAATACACTCAAGTTATCAAGGATTCAGCTAAGGTCTTTCAAGAAGATATAAAAGAGTCTAATTTGAAGTGTAATAAGAATTTTAAAACACAATACACCATTAATAACAAAGTATGTAACATGATAATAAACCATGAGAGTAGTGAGAATTTGGTATCCAAAGCATAGATGAAAGCTTTAAATTTGAAGATTGAAAAATCCTCTTTTTGCAATCAAGCTACACAGGTTAATAGTGGCAAGAAATTCAATGTATGAAAATATGTAAAATTTCACTTACTATTAGAAAGTAATAAAAAGATGAGATAATATGTAACATGGTAAAGATTAATGATTGTCATGTACGTTGGGGCCAATTTTTCTTTTCCCATTATAACTCAATAGGACTTCAAGATTTGATCCATGAATCTTTTGTCAGGGGCCACATTATTAATCAAACCTCAAAGTACATCAACCCTAATATAAGTAAAGAGCCGGACAGGATAACAAATTTCATTTCCACAAGTGCCATGGATGATCTTTTAACAGATTCTCATCTTTTTAAATTTCTGAGGACGTATAAAGAGTAAATAACAAATAAACAGTTATAATTCATTAGCAGGAGCTGACCTTTGGCCAAATACAAGAATACACTTTTAAGCCGGCATATATTAGTATCTAGCATAAAGTGAGAAGAGCACATAACAAAGTTGTGGATAAACTCCCAAGAGAAAACATTTATGATGCTTGAACAAATTCATTTAAGTTTCAAAGACATGAATTTTGAACAACTTGCATGCTAAAATCACATAACAGTTAAATTCAATGGATTGTAAGGTATAATCTGAGTCCAACTTTCTCGGGGTCATCTGGCATAACAGTAATAGGTGAAACATTATATATTTTATACTAAACCATTAAAGCATATATCCCTGTAAAAGGAGGCTATAACTAATACTTGACATTAAGTATGCAAGGAATGAGTTAATAATTTACTTACCATGTAGTGAAAACTACTTCGAATGGACAGAATTTCATCTCATTGACCTATTTAGATCCACTTGTATTATTCAGGGTAAATGAAACAGTTATATTATGTAAACATCACCAACATCTGCGCTATTTATGCAGCATGAACTCGGTCATTGAACGATACAAGAAAGCCACCGAGGAGCAGCAACAAATGGGCAGTTCAACTTCGGAAGTCAAGGTAATCTCCGTTGCCCAACTCCCAGTGAGTTTTACCTTGAAATAAAGATGGATGTATGGAAAATGTCTTTCGTTGCATTTTTCTCTATATAACTTCCATAAAAAACAGAAAGAATTTCTGTGCAATCAAAAGAGACAACATGCTTCTAGACTTGGAAGTACGTAGAATCTTAATCAAACCACTTGAAACAAAAGATTCAAACATACTGACACTAAACCTAAAGGCACAATCACTGTTTGTCTTTTACTTAATGTTTAGAATCTCGTCCTCTCGCAGGATGAGAAAATTTTGCCTACTGTATGGTTTGCTTGTTCAAGTTTATTCCGTTATCCATCCCATAAAACTTTATCTATTGATGCAATACACTATCTTCAAATGAAGCTTGAATATGTGAATAGTCCTTCGTGCAAATAACACAAAAATTCTTGGTTACTGAAACAGAAGAACAGAGACAAACAAAGGTATAAACAAATAACACGGATTAACTCAAATTTAACATTCTGCATTATTATACACTTGTTGTATGGTGTAATAGTTTATGATGCTTTGAGTACAATCTAGTAATGCCCTGATTTTTCTTTCGAAGGCCTAATGAATCAATTTCTAGGGCACAGACTCTTCTTTGCGATTCCCTGCGAAATAATAGTGAAAGCACCTCGCAAAGAAAAGAGTGATTCCTTACCGTTGACTTAGGACGGTCTTGTAGACTACATAAGATGTGTAAGTAAGATGGGACTGCCTATTATGCTTCATGGAAGCAGGGGAAGTATGTAACAACAAAGTATGATCTTAGGATTGGTATGATAGAATTGAAGGTCTTGAATTGCTTGCTAGATGATTGATGTAAATCATTTGATCCATCTCACTAAAATTTATTCTCCTACTGAATAATGTTGAAGAAACTGTAAAGATGAAACTACAAGGATGGTTAAAAAGGTCAAATAAATGAATTAAGACTGTTAAAAGGAACAATTGAAGATTATATAAGGCATAGGATTAGAGCAGGTTGGATGAAATGGAGAAGTACTAGAGTAATTGCTCAATAAGAAGATTCCTGTAAGGTTAAAAGGTCAGCTCTATAGAACAATGATCAAACCTTTTATGCTTTATAGGACTGAGTGTTGCGTAGGACAAAATGTCCTTAATATGAACATATCTAAAATGCGAATGATAAGATGGATGTGTGCTCATATTAAAATGATATGATAAGAATGAGGATAGAGGAATGAGACGAGAAGAACATATTTTTTGAAAAAATCCTCCAAGGGGTTTGACAGAAGATGCAGATGACACCAATTATAAGAGGTCAAGAATTCAATGAAACCTGGTATAACTTGTCCAGGCAATCATTAAGTCGCTCAAACTTCTCATCTCCAATGCTGAGTTGTGACAACTTTGTTTATCTTGAGAAAATCATTAATGGAACAGGTAATGCAAAAACAGAACTGATTCGAGCGCAACGCGATAAATAAATTAAAGAAAAACTCGGTTATAGATATATTGTTAGAAGTGAAACTCACACAAATGCACATTAGTAGGATTGGAGTGGCTCTATGATGACAAGCTAGGAGAAACAATCAACAGGAACTGCAAGAGCTCAAGAGCCAAAAGTGTAACGATTATAGATTTAATTGGTGTTGCATTTCAAAGAAGAATTATAAGAATGACTAAGTACGAGAAACAGCAGGCACGGGAAAAAGTTAAGTATTGATTGATATGTAAATGACTCCAAGAGCATTAAATTGTGTGAAGACTCTGGAAATATCAATGGAAGACATTATGTCAGAGATTAAACTTTCACTTGATAACCAAGTACGAGAAATTCCCCAGAAAAGCATACTACCAGTGAAGCAAAAACAAGATCTATTAAGCAAGCGACAGAAAAGAAAGTAAAAGTACGTAGTGGTATAGGTACATCATAACACATTGAAAGAAGCACGTTGTTACGGGACAAGTTTTCTTACACTAGAATAACTAGACACCGTGCAGCATTAACGCAAACAATTCCCGTCCCTACGAGAAA